CTTTCTGTTACATTATTTAACAAGTTTTGCATAAAGAGGTGCTTCAAGGACTTACAGCAATAATCTCAAACATTCTCTTGCTGAAGTATCCTCCTCCCCTCCTTCTGAATTTAAATCTTTATTGGTTTACCTTTTGATTTTGGTCATGCTGGGTTTTGTAAGGGCAGACAGGTGTCATCCCTTTCCTTCCCCATCATAAGAGTCTTGTTGACCCTCTATATAACAAAAGAAATATAACAAATGTATTCACTCAGTTTTATGTGACATGAGAGCCTTCAGAGATAAGGATCCAGAGACCTGGGGCAAACTGTCTATTTTTATGCTCAGGTTTCTGACCTCGGTGGAGGAACGTGATTTCACAAATGGGCATATTTGGATGGGCAAGCCCACAGCCTGTCTGTCCAGATTCTTGTTGACCTCGCTGCAGCTTCTTTCCAGAGGGGTGGACCCTATTATCAGAGAGGCCAGGTTGGAGAATTCCTGCATGGCCAGCTCCCGGACAGACAGGCAAGAGCGGGGCTAGAGAAATATTTCTAGTGTTTATGACTTGCTTTGCAGGAGAGGAGTTCTTGTGCCCATGAACAGGAGCTATTCTTTCTGCTAATAGGAGAAAACAGGGGAAAAGCTTTGTGACATGGGATTTTGTCAGGATTTTTAGATGTAATGTAAAAAAAAGAACAAAAAATAAGATGTAGATAAATTGAATTCCATCAAGTTAAAATTTGTATTAAATAATGCTGTCAACATAGTTAAAAAGTCATCCACAGAATTGGAGGAAATATCTGCAAGTCATTCATCTGATGAGAAATTAATACCAGAATATATAAAGAATTCCTAGAATTCAACAACAACAACAACAAAACAAACCATTACATAATGGGCAAAGGACGTGAATAGACATTTCTCCAAAGAAGAGATACAAATGGCCAATAAGCAGAAGCAGAGATGCTTTATAACATAAATCATTAGATAAATATGAATCAGAGCCGTGAGATACCACCTTATATACATTAAGATGGCTATTTTCAGACAAATAAAATATATATTTTATAGATATATAATATTTATCTCTATATATCTATATCTATCTATATCTATCTTATCTATATCTATATCTATCTATCTACCCATCTAGATAGATAGATAGATAGATAGATAGATAGATAGATATACAAATTTTGATGAGGTTTCTGGAAACCAGAGCCCTGTGCCCTGTTGTGGGTTAGTATAATGGTGCATCCACTATGAACAACATGGAAAAAAATTAAACAGAGTTATGTATTTAGCAATTCCACTTCTGAATATATAACCCAAAGAAGCAGAAATTGGAAAATATATTTGTACACCTCAGCTGACATCATTAACAAGAGCAAAATGTGGAAGCAACCAAAAATCCATCAAGGGATGAACCGATCAGCTTCTAATATGACACCTACATACAATAGAAGATTTTCCACCTTAAAAAAAAAAAACAAGGGAAGTCTGACACATGCTCTGTTGGAGTCTCCTTGTCTCTTAATGGCTCTACATTTTCATACTGTTAGAATGGCAATGAAATGTCAATGTGAGTTGGGGATGAGACAGACATTCAACCATTAGCAGTAGTCAAATTCATACACACAGAGAATAGAACGGTGGGTTCTAGGTCTGGGGGAGCAGGAGTGAGAATTGCTATGTAATGTGTACAGAGGTTGGGGCTGAGAAAGAAGGAAAAGTTCTGGAGATCTATGGTGGCAATGGCTGCCCAGAAATGAGTTTATCCCTAATATCACTGAAATTTACACATAAAAATGGTTAGCACAGTAATTTTTATGTTAAGTATATTTTACCACAGTGAAAAAAAAATCATAGGTTTGATTATGCTTCTTTTAGATGTGTTATTAATTTAATCTTAAGTAGAAATAAGCTTACAATTAGAGAAATGCAAATCAAAACTACACTGAGATTCCATCTCACTCTAGTCAGAATGGCAATTACTGAGAATGCAAACAATAATGTGTGTTGGCAAGGATGTTGGGGGAAATGTACACTCATACATTGCTGGAAGGACTGCAAATTGTTGGACCATTATGGAAAGCCGTGTGGAGATATCTCAGAAAACTTGGAATGGATCCACTATTTGACCCAGCTATCCTACTCTTCAGTTTATACCCCAAGGACTTAAAATTAGCATATTACACACAGCTAATTTTTTGACACAGCCACCTCAATGTTTATAGCAGCTCAATTCACAATAGCTAAACTATGGAACCAAACTGCATGCCCTTCAACAGATGAGGAAACCTGGTACATATACACAATGGAATATTATTACTCAGCCTTAAAGAAGAATGAAATCATAGCATTTACAGGTAAATGGATGGAACTGGAGGCTAGAATGGTAAGTAAAATAAGCAAAATAAGCCAGTCCCCAAAACCCCAAACACAAATATTTTCTCTGATAAGTGGATGCTGATCCATAGTCGGGTGGGGAATAGGCAAAATAAAGGAACTTTGGTTTGTGTACAGGGGAGTGAGGGGAGGGGTGGGGCTGTGGGGATGGGAAGGACGGTAGAATGAGACAGACATTATTACCTTATCTATATGTCTGATTTCACTACTGGAGTGATTCTGCACCATGGATAGCCCCAGGAATGAGAAACTGTGCTTCATTTGTAACATAAATAAATTTTAAAAAAGAAATAAGCTTACAAATCAGCATGCCCTATTTTACCAAAGAAGTCAAAATATGCATAAAAATGGTTATTGGGGGAACATGGACATGATATTTTCCCATAAATACTTTTTTTTTTTCTTTTCTTCTTCTCACTTAAACAAAACAAAACAAAAAACAGTACTGGGGATTGCATCCAGAGCTTCACACATGCTAGACCAGGACTCTACCATTCAGCTACATCCCTGGTCCTACAATGAATTTTTAAAATAATAATAATAAATGAAATATGATATATTAAGAACTATGTAATGTTTTGAACGACCACCAATAAAAAAAATAAATTAAAAAAAAAAGAAAAAGGTTTAGAATGTTTCTGGGCTGTGTTCCTCAATTCCTTAATTATAAGAGAGAATATCTACATATTACACACACACACACACACACACACACACACACACACACAACACCCCAAATGTTTTCCCCATACTCTGTATCTTAAATTCTAACATTAGCTGCCATGAAAGTAAATTTCTTGAATTAAATATCAATATGTAGACCGAGGAAAAGATTGCAAAACACAGAGGGAAATCAAAGCAGTTCCCAAAGTTCTCAGTTGCTTTCCCCCTTTTATTAATTTTTTACCAACCAGTTTTTATTAACCATTTTTTATTTCCTGCAATTTTTATTTCCTGCATTTCTGTTGGTTTTGCTGCAGATGCAGGGGAAGGAAGAATCCTAAGGGAGGAGCCAGGATGGGATGCACGATCGCAGGCCTCCCAGCCTCAGGGGCCCTTCCTCCAGTTTCTTCTCCCACCCAAGATTCTCGCCTTGCCAATCTCATCACTGCCCTGGGGGTTGTCAGATTCTTATAAACCCAGCTACATCTCATCCTTAGAGGAAGTCATGGGTCTGTGCCTTTCCACCGGCTCCACCCTAGCTGTAGGTTAAACAGGAACCACCTGGCTGGAATGTGCTGGCTTTCAGCACCGCAGAAGATTTTAACCAAAACCTCCAGGACTAAAGGAAAGCCAGGTTTTGCTGAAAATCCACGAAGGGCTGGCTGTGAGCCCTTTTCCTGAGCCAGGGCCCAGCGACACCCATGGCTCCCTCCCTTCCTGGGGCTGGGGTGTCCTGCTCAGTTCCCCCGAGTCCAGGGAATGCAGAGCCCTCAGGGAGAGGCTGGACCCGAAATTGCCTGGAGTCCCGTTTGGAGTCTCTGCCCAGAGTTGGACCCAGCCAATCGCAGGGCGTGCCGTTGATGGGGGCGGGGCAGGGTAGGGCCACAGACAGGGTCTTTAAAGCCCAGATGAGGTACGTCTGGACCAGAGGTTCTGACTTCTGCCACTTCTGGTGAGTTGTATCTGTGGGGTGTGGCCACCTCAGGTGAGCGCCCTCGGCCTTGCCTAGGCATATTGGGAACAGACTGGAGAGGGGGCCCTGGTCCAGAATGCAGGCAGGACTCCCAGGACACAGAACATCTTCCCCTCCTCTGCTAGCCTTGGGGTGGGATGTGGGGATGGTTGGCGGGGAACCCAGGAGAGGCTCAGACCATGCAGGAATCCCAGGTTGTGCACCAGTCACCCTGGGCCTGGCCAGGAGGGAGAGGTCACGTGGAACCCCTGGCCCGCCCAGCCACCGCAGGGTGCATTGCTCCTGGGCCAATGGGAGCACCCTCTTGCCCATCATTTCCAGGTAAAGTCCTCCAGTCTCGGTGGGTACAGAAGGTAGGAGCAGGTGCCATGCCAGGCTGGATGTGGTAGCTGTGACTTCCAGTGCCTTAGCCACATGGCCTGGTTTCCTGGTTGGGGTAGTGAGCGGGGATGTTGGAGGCACTAAGTGTGGGACAGAGAGACCTGTGGTGCTGTTCTTCCTACTTCCCTAGAAGAATATTCCAGAAAGATTGCATTCAAGAAAGGAAGGTTCCAAGACACCACAGTTCCTGCTGTATACCACCCAAGAAGATGCCCAGTGGCCCCCAACTCTTGGGGACCCCTTTGTCTGTACTTGGTATCAGGTGCCTCAATGAAGTTTAGCTTAGGTGGCTTCAGTAGCTTTGGTACATATCCTGGACCAACTATCTCCTAATTTCCTAGTTGTTGTTTTAAGGTTTTAAATCATCAGGTACCTTCACATAGTTCTTATAACCTAAATTATCATTCTGTATAGCGTCCCAGTCCCTAGGGCTGGGGACAGGCTGCTTTCCATTGGTGGCCAAATACTCCCACTGGAGAGTTTTAATCCAGCTACATCCTTAGCCTCTTCCACTGGCCTTGGGTCCGTTCTTGGGAGAAAGATTTAAATATTTGAGTCCCCTCATTTCTTTTGCTTTTCCAGGGCTTGAAGCATGAGTCCCTCTCTCTTCCTGGTCCTCCTTGGCTTCCCGGTGCTCTCCGCTGCTCCAGCCCTTGAGTATGGTTTGAATGCACAGTGGCACCAGTGGAAAGCAAAGCACCGGAAAACCTACGGCACGGTGGGTGACATGGGCACCGTCCAGGGGGACCCTGCAGAAAGTGGTCCTCGCTGGTCACAGTTTATGGCCAGAGAGAAGCTTCTAGAGGCCAGCTCTTAGCAGGCAGTGACCTGGGGGCCCTGTGGGGCACTCAGTGGTGTCTGGGCCTGGAGACCAGCTCACAGGAGTGGGAAGCCCTGCCGGGCCATGGTTTCTCTTCCATCTGCGCCAGCAGGTGTCCCCTTGGGGAGATGGGTTGAATTTTAAATAGAAATAAAAACTATCAGCTGTGCTTGCTTCCAGAATGAAGAAGGATGGAGGCGATCAGTGTGGGAGAAGAACATGAGGATGATCGAGCAGCACAACGAGGAGTACAGCCAGGGGAAGCA